TTATTCTTGACTTCCCTTCCTTTATTCAATATACACGACACACAATAAAATACATAATAAATAGATTTCTCCATGGCTTTTCCTTAATATCACCAGATTATTAAGAAGAAAAAACTAACCTTGTTTTCTTCAAGCTATCGTTTAACGGTGTGGTGGACGAGTGACGACAAAGATAAGCAAACTCGAGGACAGATGTGGTAGAGCCGAAGAAGAGGCCGACATTGGCAGAATGTAGCGAAGGTGACCGAAGATCCGGAGAGCCGTAGTAGAGTCGTGAAGATCGTAGGTATCCAAGAAATCAAAGATAAGTCGAAAATCAGTAGTTTATTGGATGAAAATCAGTGTTTTGGTAAAAAAAATATTAGGGTTTTTGGTTTCTCCTTATCTTCTCCTATTTTTTCTCACTTTTTATGCTGTAATTTTGTATTATATGGTATATATTAAATTGTCGCTTGGTTATTAATTTTTCTACTAAAAAATCAAAGGGACAAGCGTGTCCCTATAAAAATTTAAAGGGTGTCCTTTTAAAATAAACTACATACTCTGTAGAAAAATTTTCAATGTAAGGGGTGTCCAAGAACACCCTTTGTATTAAGGTAGCATCGCCCCTAGGCAGAGGCCAAGAAAAACGATTTTCAGCAAGCAAAGCAGTTAAGCCTAATATTCAATTGAAACCAATCAAGACTCTGATACCATTGATGGGTTTGAGCCATAAGAACTTTCCTATGTGCACATGCAAACCCTAATGCTTGGATCTAGGTTTCTCTAATTGAACATGCTTTGTATCCAAGACTTTGAATCATAGATCTAGTGTAAACAAACAGTTCATAACATATGAAATCAGATCTAGAAGAATACCTTGAGTTACTTGCTTGAAAACTTCTTTTCCTTGGAGCTTAGAGTCACAATTATCACTCTTCTAATGGCTTACAAACACCTACTAGCAAGAAGATGATTTGAGAGAGGGAGAGAGGTGAGAAATCGACTCTAGGGTTTCCTCATGCATTGAGTGGCTGATTTCTCCAACCCTAAGGGTCTATTTATACTATGAGCTCTTAGGGTTTTACCTTAAACCCTAATTGGATAACTTAGCCTCAAAGCAATCCAAAGATCCTTCTAGATAAGGCCTTGGACGATTTCTAGGATATCCATATCCTTAAAATCGTCCCTTCCCATATCCATAAGGATTCATAGCCTAAAACACAACTATCACACATTTGACAGTTTATGCCCCTTTATTCAATTAATCTCTTTAAGTCACCAAATTAATTACTAATTAATTTATGACTTATATCAATCAAATAATATTATTATTCCTTTAACATATTATTCTTATAATACATTAATAATAATATCTCTTCTCTCTATATAAATCACATTGTCAAATTGCTATGGTGAAGGCAACCCAAAAGGACCATGCACAACCGAGTCAAGTACTTACCAAATATAGTTACAGCCTTAGACACTAATCCAACAATTTGTTGTATGCATTTTCCATTAAGGTCTATGATTAACATTCCATCTTTACTCGCCCGAAGAAGTTGTTCTAGGCTGTGGTTTATGGTTCCAATACAAATGGATGAAAAATTCTTAGGATAAAAACAAGACTAACTCCAACCATGTTGACTGACCTTGACCAGGTTCTGTGGCTCTAATCCTTCTTTATATTTTTAGTTTAGTTTATCCCGAGTTCATTCTAGCATTGTCTTAGGTAAGGACAAGTAAGGTTTAAGCATGGAGTGATTTGATAGGTTTATTATATTTACTTCTTTTTCTAGTTTTTTCTAGCATATTTCATCTCATTTTAATTAATCATCATGCTATTTTCACTTTTTTTTATTTTATATTTATATCGGGTACTTTCTAGTTTCCTTGATTATAATTGCAGATTTATTGAGGATCATAAAAAGCAGAGTGATCGTGGGAATGCGGGATTGTACTAAACCTGAGGATTACGGTATGCTTGTGGATTTGAAAATGTGATGGATTGAGCTCGTGAATTATTGAAGAAGATGTTGGGTTTTGAAAGCAAAGTAGGATATAGATTAATGAAGATTTAAAGATATGGACTAGTGTTGAGTAATTAGAAGAAGATGAATTAAGCCAACTTTGAGATTCTAATGATTATTTAACGAAATGTTCAAGTTCCAATGTCAATCATCTCTTTCTCATTGATTTGAATCAAAACTCTTTGCTTGTTTACTTGTAATTTCCAAACCTCACTGTAATCTTAGTGTAACTTTAGTTTCTTTAAAACACCAAAAGTTTAAAACACTCATTTTACTTTTATTTCTATTTCGCAAGTATTTGTACACAAAGATTTTCATAGAGTTATAAATTGAACCAATCTCTGTGGATACGGTCACTTTACCATTATACACTATTTTAGTATAAAAGATTTAGGGTATTTATTTTGTTGGCCTCGACAACCGCCATGTGTCTATTTTTTTCTACTTCGCTTCTTTATAGTTTTTATGATCTTATAAGTTAATGTAATGTGTTGTTTCTTCATAAGTTCAGCTTCAATGTTGGAGTATATTAGATGATTATGATTTTGCATCTTGGTGTTATGCAATGAATTTGATTTTGAATATGATTTTTCGGATAATGGACTTAAATTACTAAAATGTTGTTAATTGTGAAACACTTAAGATAAAGAATAAACCAAAAATCGTTTGGGATAACAACACTTCGATGAAGTATACCAAATTGTGATTGATTGAGCTAGAAAAAGGGCATAGACCCAGTACTCATTTCTGTAAGATTAGGTGGACGAATTTAGAGAAAGGCATGTAGGAAGAAACATGGAAAGTCTTTGCTCTAAAACAAATTAAAAACAAATGGGACAACTTAAAAACATATTGGAAGCTTTATAACCCCTTAATGAGGCTAGAAACTGCAATCGGCATGACAAGAAGCTTATTAGAAGCATCTCCGGAGTGGTTGGAGGAGAAAATAAATGTAAGATTTACATATCTTTTTAGTGAAATATATGAATTAAATGTCATTGTTTATCTTGTAGGTTAACAAAGACTTCGCCAAATTTAAGGACATAGATTTGTCCATATATGACTCATTATGCTCCTTTTGTTTCGAGATTTTATTGTTGGAGATCAAACTATAACTTTGTTACAATTTCTAAACATCAATCCGAACGAGTCAACGTATAGAAAATATGGAGGGCAAATGAAATAGTGAGGAAATCAGTTTAGGTAATGATGAGCCTACTCTTCCAAGTTTTCCTCAAACTAATTGGAAGTAAAAGGAAAAAGACGAAGGATATTGCCAACAACCGTTCAAACCAATACTAAAATTTAATCTCTTGAGGAAAAGTCAGACGTCAATAAAAAGACAGGAAGGAGTTGGTGCCTTTTGAAGATATATACTTAAATAGGAGGGTATGAATGCTTAAAATTAGGATACCTTAGCAAGTTATGTCATTGAATCCATCTCCTTTTTATTGTGTTTGTTGTACAGTATTTATTGCATTTAATGTTTTTGAGTCCTGTTTATTTCTATTCTCCATTGTAATTTAATGCGTTTGAATTCTCCTTTGTATTTCTAACATTTCATGGTCTTCTTGGATTGATACTCTTACGCTTGTCCATAGAACATTACAAATTGATGTGATACCTTATCCTCGTCTTGTTGGCACTTACCAATTACTCATCAAAATATTTAATTTGTTGTGAATAAATATTAGCATAATCAAGTGTACCCCAACTGAACTGCAATGTCATTCTTAAAACCAAGTGCTTCAGTATTTAGAGGATAAAACTCGATATGGGTTGTTTATTAAACGTTGTTCAAGACTAGAGACTTGAATTTAGCAAAGAGTCTATTGACTTATCCTAAATGATTTTTGTAACTTCATCTTAGTTCCACTCAACTTTGTTGTAATCATAGAATCCTACTTTATCGGTGACTCTGGCTATTATGCATAAACATATATAAACCATGAGATTCTTCTTCAAGAAAAGTAATACTCCTATAATTGAATCAAAGAACTAATCAATATTTGTTGCAAAAAGAAGCTCCAAAAAAGGTCACATTGTGATAAAAACTAAGATCCCACGCTTACATAAAATTCCAAAATTGCTTTTCAAAAGATCATTGTCTACACAGCTGTCAAACACAGCAAAGATACATCATACATGCCAACCAATCGCTTTAAAAATAAATAGCCAAACACCATAATCATTTACTCTTTTTAATCTTTGGGAATTTCCTAAATAATATTGTACATCATGCAGTACTTGACTTGTACCAAAAAAGTCAAATACACACAGAACAGAATAATTCATCTGAACATGAATCATGGTCTTAGATTAAGGTACTATTTTGTACTTGTAGCCTATAGAATAAAGTAACAATAGCACAAATAATCATGTTTCATCATTATAAAAGAAGGTAACTGCTATTTACAAATTCATAGCCATTCACAAAAAGTTCTATATAATGATTACGCATGATATTGGAAACAATTATAATATCCTAGAATAAAACCATGTTCATTTGCACATGGGTCCATCAACTTATGAGATTTATCTTATCTTTGTCTGTTTCCATACTAGAACAAAAAAACCACCAACTTGCTAAAACAAATATATTCTGATGGGTGTGCTATTTTTGTCCCATTATTTTTATATTTTTTATTATCACACAGACAAAAACACAACACAGTAATGAAGATTCTCTCCTACTTAAAGAAACATTTGATAAAAATTACTGCCAATCCAAGATATTTATCCAATAATATCGCCAAAGATGATACTCATAATCTACTACTAATAACAATCAAATAAAAAAACACAACCTAAATAAAACACAGACCATGAAATTTGAAATTTAAGAAAGGACTACAGAAGCACAAGATATACAAAAACATTGTTCCAAGATAGTTGCATGCATCTTACCAGGAATTGAAGAAAGGAATGGCTTTTTTTGATTATAGAGCAACCTTCTCTGGAATTGACGATTCCATTCCGTTGTTGATCATCTCATAGCATGCAGTCAGTTCTGGCTGGCAATCTTCTAAAGAAGTTGAGAGGGACAGAAGGAAGCTTCTGGCGAAACCTCGGGTGTCTCAACACATAGAATCCAGTCAGAAGTGCCACAACTTGGAAAGGTGTGACATAAAGAACAATAGCAGCAATCAAACAGAAAATCACAAACAAAGCAGTTGCTCTGGGATCTCGCCAGCTCAGCAAAGACTGAAGCCTCTCTCCTTGTGTTGCCAAGTCACCAACAACCGTCTGAATCCTTCCAGAAATACTCCTTAATCGGTCATATCTCATTCTGATGATGTCAGCAGGGCGAGAAGTTGGAAAGGTGTCGAATTCTTCATCAAGTTCATCAGGGTGTGCATTGTCAGCACAAGAAAGACGGGTGTCCATGTGGGGTGGGTTCTTTGGTCTCCATCTATAGTACCAAACTCCAATCAGAAAAAGATAGAGGAAAATAGTAGGGAGAATAAGCTCAGGGTATAAAACCAAAATCAAGAAAAGGATGTGAATCAAGACGGTTGTGATCGGATTCTTCCAGTTACAAATCTGGTCAAACCATTTTCCAACTGCAATCAAACCACTTAAAACACCCATGATTCTGAAGAAATTAGCTTTACTTCTTCTCATGCTCCACATGTGGGACCCCACATCCAGCATATACTCCACCACCTCTTTTCTCAATGGCGGCTCAGCCCGGGACAACCGCATGGAAACAATCTGAGTCGCCTGGTGCCTTAAACTATCGAGTTGACTCACTGTCAACGGATGGATGTAGTGCATTTTGGGTAACAAAGGCTGTGAGTACATATGCATCATGTTTAGCAATGAAGAACATGTAAACCTCACAGCTAAATGAATCTCACCCATTTTTTTAACTCCAGATGGATGTAAAACAAGAAGAGGGTATGAATGGGTGTAGACGCGATCTGTTTCGAGAGTGGAAAGACGGATTCTGACTTTCCCGATTCTTGAATCGCGGGCCCCACCCCCACCACCTTTATCGCCGCCTTGGAGATGACAGTTGTCGAATACACCGATTGTTATAACAGTACACGGATCGAAAACTTCCCATGTGTATTGTTCGTTCCATTTAGGGGTAAAACTGTCAATTATTGTTCTTGTTCTGACCCATTTTGTCCCGTATTTGGCGACACAATACGCGTCTGTTGTTGCACGTCCGTCTTTTGTTTTCATTGGTGATAATCCCTGAGCACTCAAGACTCCAACTTCAAGAACACCGATGCTGTTCTTCCATAATTGTTTAGCTGTTGGCCTAAGATCACTGCTGTAGTGAGTAGATTCATCAAGAACATGATAACCACCTTCCAAGCAGATTCTCATATGAAGCCTGCTAGCAAATTTCACTTCTTTTTTCTTTTCACCATCGATTATAACATGCTTTTCAAGATTAAACCATCTTGTGTTGATAGCTTTGTGGTCTAGCCTTCGATCCACATACTGTAGAGGAATTGCACACATTCCAAGGATTTCATCTTTATTGGGTGCGAGTCTATCTTCCACACTTAAAACCAAGTGTTCTTCAAATGGTTCTGCAGCTACAAACATCAAGTCTTCATTCCACATTGGATTGATGGACTTGCTCATGGAGATTCGAGTCCTTAAAACTTGATGACCAAGTGCAGCTTTCACAAAAACTTCAGGGAATCTAGTTCTGTCACTTGGTATTAAGTCTTGGGCTTCAATCACATTGACTCTGAGATACCATAGCTTAGGTGAAAGATACACTTTTGAACGGATGTTAGCAAGAGCATCAGCTCCACCAACAGAAGCAGCATCTGAATGCCATGCTTCAGGGAAAGCTTCATCAGCTTGAGTACCCCACCATACTGCTAACATAAGCTCTCCTTTCAGCTTGTTTGATTTCCTGTCTTCTAATCTATACCATTGAGGAGCTAGAGGACTATCTGGTGGAACTCTTTTTGGAACCTCAGTAAGATCAAATAGAACCCACCCCATGAAATCATCCTTCACAAAGTCTTTATCTTTTACAGTGACTTCAAGCATTGTGGCTTGAATCCTCTCTCTGGAGAAGGCAAACACTTGGTTCCATTCAGGGTTAGATTTCTTTTCAAAATGACGAGTTGTACCCTTATAGTTTCCAAGACGAACTTCAGCATAAGGGTCACAACTACCGGTAACATCTTTTGAAGGTAAATCCCTAGCTTTCACCACACGGACATACAGGTATTGCATTTGTTCCACAAGGTCATAAGTGCTGGTGAGCTTATCTCCGGTGACCTTTCCTCCACCCAGGTGGGGTTTGGTCTCCTTGAGTGAGAAATCATCGTGCGGAGGAGGTCTGTGCATCATCTGGATTTCGTCACAGCTGAAAAGATGAACAAAATTGTTGATATGAAGTGTTCAGAACCTTAAAAAAAGAGCTTACATTATGGAACTGAAGGAAAATAATTGTTTATTACATGTTTATACTATTGATGGAGCTAAGATTATCATAAATAAAAGAGGAAAATCGTTTAAACATATAATCAATAATTAACACCTGGTAACTTTAAAAAAGTAGAGTTGAAGGCTTCAGATCTAAGTGATTCCGACCTGCAAAAAAGGTAAAGAAAACAAATCAAAACCCTAGTTTAGACACACTGATAAGGGAAAAAAGGCATCGACAGAGTACTAAATTTTCAGCAATATACTCAAACTACTTCAAAGGAAAAACATGCTCAAAAATTATCTAGAACTATAAAATAAACAGACAAATTCATGGCTGAAAATGAAGTTTGGTAGAGTAAAAGGTAATTTTAAAAAAATGTCGAATCACAATCAAGAGAAACCCTAGAATCACATTAATGCATGAATATTCATCAAATGCTGTACGTTCGGATATAGATACATTCTTGGAGGAATATGCTAAGGAATGTGTATATACCTTACTAAGAGCGATAATGAAAGAGAGATCTCATGGGAGATCTGTATGGATTCGCGATAGCATTATTGGGCTGTTACAAGAAGAAATTAATGGAGTTGCTTTTTTAATCGTCTGGGATCAGATTCATAAGAATATAGAGGATTTGAGACGAAAAAGGTGTTATGGTAACAGGGGTTTTAGAGAGAGAAAGAGGGTTTTAGAGAGAGAAAAGCGGAGGAGGTGGTGATGAGTATGTGAGTATGTCTGTGTATTGCTGTCTCTTTAAGGAAGAGTGCAACAACAATTTAACTTTGGATAAACTGCATCTTCACCCCTAATGTTATGACTAGTATTCATAGCCACCCCTTCACATCATAAATATTTGCACATGGAAAGATTTATCATTTTTATCATAGAAATCAATTATTATAGTATACGACGTATTTAATTAATATAGTAACCGTTTATATAAGTCGATATTCACTTTAACATGGTTTCATTTAGGATAGGCTTTAAACTAAATGAATACTCGTATAAAGTTATGAGAAGAAGACTTAGTTGTAGAATATAAAATAATTAGTAACATTGAGAATTTGATTTAGAGTTTTTATTAAAATTTTAATTTTGTAAAAGTTTGTTTGGATATATATTTATTAACTTGAAAGATAAAAGATAGAATCTTAATTCATTGAAATTTAAAAGGATATAACCGAAATATTGTACATATAATTACATGTTTATTAAAGTTGGCTATGATCTCCTCATATGACTACACATTCATTTTAGAGCTTAGGGTTGTTCACTGTTTGGATAAAACCGAATTATCCAATTGGACAATTTAGATTGAACTATTTTGTTCGGATATTTGGATTTTTGGATTGATTTTCAACAAAACCGAATTATTAGTTTGGATTTTGGATTGGTTTGGTTTATAAAATAAGAACTGAATAGTCCAAAAAAATGAATAAACATTTATTATTTATTTATTTATAATATATATCTATAGTTATTTAATAATTTTGTAATTTATTTTTTCAAATAGATTCAAAACGTTTCACCCAATAAAAAAACATTAATATGCATTTTCTCTCAGAAAATTTCTATCTATAAAATATTTAACTATAATATATATTCTTAGTAGTTGTTTATAACTTTTAAATAACAACTGAATAATTTATTTTTTGCTTCTTGTGTAATGTTGGGTAATATATAATTATATATCGTTTTAAAATGTCTCGTTTTTTGAAAACCAAATTATAAAAACCGATCCAACCGAATTATAATTGGATTGGATCGGATCGGATCGGATTTGAATCTAGTTTGGACTGTTTGGATCCATGTTTTGGAAACCGAAATCAATTTGGATTCGCTTGATTGAATCGGATCAAACCGATCCATTCAAATAAACACCCTTATTGAAGCTACTTGATCGAGTTGAAATGTAAAATTGATGATATCAAACATAAAATTATCTTTTATTTTAGGAACTAACTTGAAAATAAAACATATAAAGACGAAATAGTAGATGAATTTAATATATATATTAATCATTTGAGAAAGTTATAGTCCTTTTGTTCTTATTAACATATATTACATAAACACCCATCAAACACATATATGAATAAAATGTCAAATGTTGACTACAATATTATGAGTAGATAGATATTTAGGAAACATAAGACATACCAATTCTTAACATTGAATTGATCAAGGCAATATTTTACTCACATGTACAAAGAACTAGCACATCTTTTCCCAAATACATGAAGAGCGATATTCATTACTTTCTGTATTTGCATATAAAACCCCCAAACTTTAATTGTAAATTTTAGTGTGAAAGTGAAATAAAAAAAAGTAAGAGCAGTCTTAGTGTAATTAATCCAAAATGTAGGGTGTCTCGGGGCAGTAAACAATTTTTACTCACTGGGTTCTTCCGAGAGAACATTGGTCGGGACCATTCCACGTGCAACGTCCGTGACACCTTCATGTGTGTGACAAGAGAATGGATCAATATGATATCAATATATTCTTTTTCAATAAAATAATAACAAATATATTTTATTAATAAATAAAGGTATGTGGTGAATGGAAAGGATAAATGTTTGTTGGTGATTACATGGATAATTTCCAAACGAAAAATGAAACATTTTTCACTCGTTAATTTGATTTAAATCGGATTAATTAATTTATTGACATTTCATGGTTGATTTATAACATCGTGTCAATAAAGGTTTAGTTTAGCACATCTCCAACCAATGAAATTATTATGTTGACATCATTTTAGTATATAAAAGATTGGCTAAAGATAATTTCAATCCAACGCTATTTTCTATATTGACTTGTTTGGGAAATATTAGTAATGTGACGGTGAAGAATTGGATTCCTTATGAATCATTTAAGTTTATGTTTTAAACTGATATTTTTATTTTATATCTGAGGTATAGAAACCAGTTTAAGATAATCCAAAATTACACTTGTAGAGGTGCAAATGAGTTGAGTTGAACCCAAGCCTGGCCAAGCTCGAGCTCAACTCGCTTAAAATTTGTATGGCTCGAGCTCGAGCTCGACTCGTTTCGAGCCCCAAATAAGGAACTTGAGATCGGCTCATGAAGTAATACATAGGCTCGGGCTCGTCTTGTTTTGTCTAAATGAGCCTAAACGAGCTTAAGCTTGGCTTGAGCCTGTTTACAAAATGAATTCCAGAGAAGAAAAAAAACTCGAATTTACTTAATTTTTAGCTAGGTGCAGACTACTTAAATTCCAACCAAGATGCATAAATAAAATCTTCAAATTAAATAAGTTTTAAACTCCAACATACAAACCTAAAATTTAATTAAATCATTCAAAAGAAAGTCTTCCTATCATGGAAGTTCAAATTACAAAAATACTATAAAAACAAATAAATTTTAACATAACATATTATCAAAACTCAAAAGCTAATCTTCCTTGAAGCAAATTCAATCCAACAAATTCTGAAAATTAAAACATTTTATGAAGTGTGCAATATAATATAATTAAAACAACAAGAATACAAGTAGATTAAAATGACTTACACCTTTAAGTATTACTTGTCACTGTAGGTAATAAAACCTCAATGGACATTTCCTCTTTCTGTAAAAAGAACCCACTAACATGATCAAATATTAATAAATTTAATTAATCAATTGTTAGTTCATGTGTTTTAAGTTTATCAAATGTACCTTGAATTTTTTCTTGATTCCATAACGATGTCTAATCCAATCTCCTCCCCCAAATCAACATTTGAACAGTGTCCAGTGCCAATAAAGGTCGGTATGGATCAATTACTCTACCCCCAACACTAAATGTTGCCTCAGATGCAATGATAGAAATCGGGATCGCAAGCACATCCATAACCATCTTTGATAAAACACGGTACTTCAGTTTATGAACATTCCACCACTCCAAAACCTTGAATGAATCCATTCCTTTTTTGTCATTGGTTCCTATAAACACCTTTGTAACGCCTCATTCCTAGTATGCATTTTAATTGTATTTTGTTTATTTAGTATAGTTACTCGACGAGTTGGGAACATCTACTCGCCGAGTAGGCCTACCAGGATGAAACCTTAATTTCGAGGTTTTTCACCCTATTTAAGCAACTTAATCCCCACCTTATGACCTCATTTCCAGCCTCCAAGTCCTAAGCCCTAATCCACGAAACCCTAGAGCATTATGTGAGTGTGGGAGCCATTTTTGAGTGTTTTTGTGTGTTTTGAACCTTCAAGAGGAAGGAGAAGCTTGAGGGATCCAAGAGAAGATTGTAGATCTAGAAGCAACATTTCATTCATTTCCTTTTATGGTAATAAAGTATATAACATGATCATTTATCTCTTAGATCTACTTATCTTCCATTTTGGAGGATTTTGACTCAAAGAGCTTGACCTTTAGGATTTGGATACCCCAAGCAAGGATCCATTTAGATCTGGGATCATTAAGGGTTGCTAAGGCGTAAAGGTGCAAACTTTATGCTATTAGAACCCCCATGGAAGCCCTAGAGTGTCATTTTGGCCTTTTCAGCCCGAAGAGGCCATGCATGAGGAAAAAGGTAGGAGATTCACGTGTCCAAGTAATGTTAGGGGTTAGATTTGTGATTGTAAGCTTTAGTTTAGTGCATGGATGGCTTAAGGACCAAGTTGTAGGTCCCAAGGAGTTAGGGTTTAAGCTAAACCCATTAAGAAGAGGTATTAACGGGTAAAGTTGGAAACTTTACCCTCAAAAGGACATTTACGGGGTTTTCGTGAAGTATGAAACTTGGATCTGAAGTGTAGGGGCTGAATCCATAGCCCAAACAGACAAGAGGACTCGGCGA